AGGAAGGAAGCCCGGAGGTGCCCAAGCAGCTGGCCTTGTGAGACTGGTTTTCGTCTGGCCTCTACCCGTTGACCTTTCAGGCATGATTGGATCTACGGCTGTGAGAAGCCATCCTGTGTAGCTCGCAGGGTCAGTGAGGCGTGCAAGCCATCACACCACGTCAAGGTGCAGTCTGTTCGTGATGGACACACACATGGTGAATACTTACTAGATCTCTTAATTTGCTTCATTTGTCTATCTTGTTCGATGTTATACGTACGCGACCGATGAGAGCATACGAAAGGAATTCCTCTCGCAGTGTTTGTCTTCTGACTTGCCTGTTCATAAACCCCATTGTTAGAAGACATTCTGTGAAAGGGATCACGAGGAAATACTCAGGACAGATTCAGTTTATGCAAGCACACTGATGACTTCACATAATTATGAACGCCAACCTAACTCTGGGTTTGTGTGTATGTATGTTGGTCATTCGCGTTCTAACCATCAATACTCCCACTCCCTAAGGAACTGAACTAATCTTGTCTTTGTGATGATTTGAGAGAATGAAGTCACCGGAAGCAGATGCTCGCCCACTTTTGGTTTTAGGATTGAGGTCATGGGCTTCAATTATCGAGGGCCTTGATAGTATTTATGCGTATCATACATAGCCGTCACTAGAAACTGAAAGGTGGATGCTTTTATAAACTAAAAAACCCTGTTAGATGTTGTCATAGAGAGTTGACTGAAAGCCGTGGGAAGTTGTGGAAGGGTATATATTATGTTTCTTATTTCTTTCTGCGAATAAACATCCGTGTATTCGTGTATATTTTTGTACACACCAAACACTATCTGTCTGAGTTTTACTGTGACTTGTTCAATGCGACTAATGATGTACATGTGCATGTACAGATTTTTTTCCGAAGCATCACCACTTTCTCAATCGTTTTTATCCACTTGCTTACTTCCATTCGTCCACCCACTCCGCCACCATTCCAATCAAACTACATCAGGTCTGATAAGCATCGGGTTGAGTACGTTTATGCTGAGTGACTCGAAGGAACACAACTTGACCCCAATGCAGCAGTCTCACTCGCCATGGGTAGCATTTAGCGGGGGTCTGCTCATTATCAGCTACATGGTGCTGGACTCATTCACATCCAACTGGCAAGATCGACTGTTTCGCAACTACCATCTCTCGTCTGTTCAAGTGAGTGATAATTGCTCCCACCTTTTGTGTACATCTGTTTTGCCTGAATAGATTTATTTGTTTAGGCTACACACAATACAATCTTCAAGAAGACGAAAAAAGTGAGTGATAAATTTGGCGTTCCCTTTCACACTAATTTTAGTGCAGTGATTTACTTGCGGGATCTCATCCCGAGCTCTTGACAAAAACGTTTGACGTGTAAATCGATAGGACATACCCCTTCAGTCTCCAGTCGGTTGGGGTTAGGTTTCTATTCTCTCGGATCATATGCTCCTCGAACATCCCGTATACTGGATCACCTTACCTAACCCTGAATCCGTGACCAGTAATCCGCAATTTCTAAATTTCCTCCCTCCTCTCCCTAAAGCTTAGTTCAAAAGAGTGGTCATCTCCGAGAGAACACATTGTTCTGATCCTAACTGACTTCACCATTGAACCCCCTCCCCCCCCAACAAGATCAAGCGCGGTCATCAAATCGTACGCCTGCATAAAGACAGAAAATGCCACTATGTCCTATGCCAAACGCGTGTGTGAACAGCGTGGATCATTCAGGTGTTTCTTGTAAGGTCGGTTAGACCATTTGATATACTACCATGGAGAAGACAAATACTGCGAGATGTTAACATTTCTTTTAATCCCTTCAGTCGCTACAACGTAAAACAATCTGGTATTTGTACAAGCAAGTTTTGATAACTAAAGTGATAAAACGGACAATGGTCAGGGAAGCGGGGGAGAGGGTGGGGTGGGAAATCAAGTCCATGGCAGTCTGACTGATTGTATAAGGAACTTTTGTGCACACAGGACTGGGTTACGTAACTTGATTAGCAGCGCTTCGCTAAACGCCAAAACCCTGGGATTCAGGTTACGTAATAACGGCTTGAACGACATTTGTGGGTCAACGATGTGTCCAGTTGCCATGAGATCTTTCGCGATGGATGACCCTGGATTTCTCTTATCGGTTTGACCTCTGAGACTTTGTTGCGTCATCGATTGTACCAACCATTTGGGAATGTGTTCAGACATCCGCTGTGCCAGGGGCCGATTCGTTCTGCCGATGTAAGTGTCACC